TTCAACACAAATGACCGCCGTTCCGAAACAGCGATTTTGTGTTGGATTTTACCCCTTGGCCAATGGACGGGCGGGCGCCTAAAGCTAAAAAGCTAGACTGAACCCCAAATCTAAACCTCAACCCCCAAGCATATTTTTAAGCGGAGACGGAGACACTACCCCCAAACCTTGAAATCCCCCGCCCCCAACAAAAACCGGCTCAGCCCTACACCCTAACGCCGAAACCCCAAACCCTACAACTTTGAGGCCTAAAAGCCCCAAACCCTAAACCCTCATGCCCTACAGTAGAAGCCCAAAAGTTGGAAACCCAATAGCCTCAAGCCTTAAGAGGAATGTATAGGGAATCCCAGCACTAATTGTCCTTAATCCGGTTTCCAACTTTTTGGGGTTTACTGTACGCCATCATTCCTATCATAGAATTTTCTGTTGTTTTCAAGTTTAGAATGACTGTGAATCGTAGTCGTCGCCTTTGGGGTTTAAGGTTCAGAGTAATCGAAGTTGGGGAGAAGGAGGACGAGGCCTTGGAGGAGGAGGAGGAGGAGCAGCAGCAGCAGTACATATTATACTATTTCTCAGAGTGCTTGCACGCAGCGACAGTCGATTCGGTCCGGAGACCTCTGGCTTTCTTAGATTAGTTGGGTTTCAATCTGATGGGCTTCCAAGAACTCGAAGCCCAGTCCGATGTCAATGTAGAAGGCTATCAATAGTCTCTGTCGCGAAGTAGCGTGGCAACTCGGGGTGCTGAAAGTGCTCAGTTTCGCATCTTGTGACCGTCAGCATGTGCAGAATGTGTTGGCGAACTATTGTTTCTGTGTTTCTGCAGCTTTCAAGACCGTACAGCGACAGGTAGCACCTCAGGACTCACTGCCATCATGGGCAGGAAACGGGTCAGCAACGAGGGTGCGAGTGCAAGCGGGAGACCCGTCAGGAGAAAATCCTCCGGAACCCTCGAGACACCGCCTGATGTGTCAAAGGCTTTTGTGCTGTTCCCCGGGATCCAACGCGCGATCGAGACCTTCGAAAGCTGGTGGCGCGAGCATCAGGATGTGGAGGGCATTATGAAGGCCCTCTGGCCCGACCCCGATTCCCAGCAGGCATGGGTCATGAAGCTGGACCAGCTCTTCCCTCCCGAAGACGGTGTGCAGTATCTCCAAGCCGAGTGGGGAGATCATGGGCTCAAGAACTTGAGACCGTGGCACTGGGGATGGACCAAAGCTTGTGGCAACAAGGGCACAGTCACCAAGGAGAACTTCTTGTACTTGCTTCAATCTGTGATGGCAAAAGGATTGGTCACAGACACCTTGGAGGCAGGCATTGAGCTTCCCCTCATCATGCCTGCACGACCTACCTTCCACGACGACCTTTGCAGCACGGTGACTGTGAAGGAAGAGCCATGACGATTTTAGGAGTCACCTTTTAATTTGTCGTTTGTATTGCTTGCTGTAAAAGCCCATACTTACCGACACGTCTTCTGTCGCTGCATGTAATACTAGGGGTTTATAAGGTTTGGAGGAAACTATGCTATAGATAAAACCAGGAGCCCGATTTTAATATTCAGGAATACATACCATGGTAATTGTTGCGACCTGTATCTTACTTGCGAATGCAACACATCCGAATTTACTTAAACCCTGTTTCAGGAATTGGCCCCGGCATTCTCCGTGCATGAGATCAAAGGATGGACCCGGGTGACGGCAATGTACATTGCAGTTGCTGCCGCTGAGACAGCCGGCATCTTGGACGACTACGTTGCCTTCCTGAAGGCAACCGGGAAGCTACACAACTTTCAGACGCAGGTTGCGAACTACATGAACATCCCCGAGGGCAAGGATGAGATCGACATCAACCGCGGCAACTTGCCACAAATATGTTCTCTTGTGTTACTGAATCCGTTCCCTTACAAATATGTTTCTTAGCTACTAGTTACTACGCCCCAAATTCCGTAAACCCTAGACGCTTCACCTCAAGCCTCCAAATCCAAAATCCGTCTATAACCCTAGGCCTAGGCCCTCAGCCCTACTTAATCCCAAGACCCCGACCCAACTCCTATAACATGGTAGTAGCTGTAAGCCCTCCCGTTCGGTGGGCCTTGCTTGAGCCAATTCGCGCTCATCAGATCGCCCGCCTGGCCCGATCTAAATCAGAAGTATAGGGTGTACGAACCATAATACATTATTTAGGATGCGGGTCGATGTTGTTGGCATCAGCTTCAACTTTGCTGTTGTCTGCGCACTAAGATGTCACTTTGGTGTCGGTGCTGAGTAGATCGAAGCCGAATTGCTTTACCTATGTGCACCAGATCGACAAGCGGGTGCAACTCTTCGATTATGACCCGAGACAGCAGCTGAACGCTTTCAAAGAAGCTGCTGCGCAATTCAACTTGTCACGAGGAGAGTCCGATGCGGTGGAGAACTTGCTCCTACACATTTCCCCGGCGAGCCGCGAGATGCTAACTAAAATGTCGTCTACATTTGGCATGGTGAGAGGCCCGATCAGCCACTCGGGCATCGCTTCCAGAGCACTGCGAAACAACTTTCACCGTGAGTCGGGCATCGCCTTCTACGAAGACAAGCTGGGCAACGCTGAGGGGACTGTGGAACTCATACTGTCCCGGGTGTACAAGGACTATATCAACACGGCAGTTGGACTGCGAACGTCTGCTAGCGATGAAAAGGTTCAGCAGCTGCAGAAAATCTGCCGCATGTTCCAGTTGTTCTTGGAGCAATTGGCAACAAGGCTTTCGGAAGAGGCGAGATTTCACTTAGTAGTTTACGGAACATGCAATGCAATGTGCTTCGACTCTTGATCCTGAGCCCCTCACTTCGAAGCTAACTTCATACTGATCCCCCTATCAATGCCTCCAGAAAACCCTGCTCAACTTCAACAACCGCCGGCGATGACCAAAACCCTAAAACCCCCCTCACCCCCAAAAAAGACCTTACTGAGCCTCAGCCCTACACCCTAAGCCCGAACCCCCAAACCCTGCAACTTTACGGCTTACAAGCCCCGAAACCCCGAAAAGGTCTTCAGCGCCGAGCGCCCCAACCTCGTGGAGTGCTTCATGTCCTGTAGCTTCGACGATGAGCTGCTTGTAGCTCGGCCATCCTCAGACTTTCAAAGTACAAAGACAGTCTAGGGTTTAAGGTTCGGGGTCTAGGGTCTTAGGGTTCAGGGTTTAAGGTTTAGGGTTGCAGGGTTTACGTTTTAAGGTTTATTTAGGCTTTTAGGGTTTAGGGATTGGGACCGGGTTTAGATTCAGAGATAGCTGGCTGAACCTCTGTGCCGCCAATCGTCAGGAACTACCTGGAGCCTGGTTTAGCCCTCCCTTATGAATAAATGTAACTTGGGTTACTTGTTGCCCGATCCAACTACAAGTCAATCCGTGCCAGGAACAAGCAGAAAAACTCCCTGTCCCTCTCGACTGCGCCGCCCTCGCGGAGTTCCGGCACTTGACGCAACGGGCGGCGAACCAGCTCAGGAACGAGGAGCTCAGGAAGAAGAAAGAGCTTCAAACACAGGTCGACAAGGCCTCGATTCAGAGCCTCACGGAGCAAATGACGCAGGACGTCGAGGCCTTGAAGACCTATGACAAAAGTCTGGCCGAAGCGAAAGAGCTGTGGGGTGGTTATGGTGCAATCATACAAAAGGAATCGTCGGAACAAAGGCTTGGCAAGAGTCGAGGACATCATGAACACACGCCTGAGTGTGCAGGTTTTGGAGGTGGGCCCAAATGGTGGGTTCAAGTCCATCCCCAAGCACTATGGACTCTTCAAGAATGGTGCGGCCAAGGACATGGACCTGAAGGACATCGTCGATGCCGACACGTGCCCTGCACATGTTTCGAAAGCTATTACAGGTTTTAGCTTCGCAACGAGAACCCAATTAATTAATTGTAGAACATTTTCTTCGAGCGACCACAAGTTATCAATCAAGGGAGACGATCTGCATCATCGACCTTGCTTTCAAAACCCTTCCGCTCCCCAGCATTCTTGAGATGATCAAGGCTGCCAGTGACATTTGCCACCAGTCGTGCCAAAACTGTCTCTTGATCAGACTGCCAACTAAGACCAAAGCCACGACGATGACAGCACACCTCAACTTGACAAGGAAGATTGAAGACGCTTTGATCTCAAACTCCTTGAACCCAGAGTATCACATGACAGCAGTCTTCGATGTCACGTCGCTCCACGGGGGTGACTCACGAGAGGGAGTTGCCAGGTTTCGTCTGTGTCTGTCCGACAACTATGACACATCGCCGTGGCTGACACAACTGGTGAGTAACTTTATCCTTTGCAAACGCAAGTTTTTTTAATTACGGACCGTGGTTGCAAGGATTTTTAGATTTGGACTTATTCCACAAAGTTCATACTTTAATCTTGAGAATGAGTAGACGTAAAGGCAAGAACCACTGGACGGTGGACAAGGTGCCGCTCGTCAGCCACAAGGATATGAGGCTTGTCCCGCACGCGGATGCACAAGAGCAGGGTGACGTCATCGGGGTCGGAGACCGCATGGCCCAAATGGGCCCCAAAGGCTGGAAGCACATCATCAGCCAGCTTTGCTTGGGGCGAAAGTGGTCCAACAAGGACGACCCGACTCGACACAAGGCCATGGGAAGCTGAAACAGTACAGAAGCCCTAAAGTCGCCACATCGTGTATCATCTGCAAAACCCAAACTCCAACGACCTAAGCCTAGAGACCTGGTTTCTTAAGCCTGGAACAGCCTTAAAGTCTTTATGCGTACTATTGCTTTAAAATCGGATGCGTCGATTGGAAGGGGTCTATACTAGAGTTACTAGAGTCTATACGATATACATATCATATAAATATGTGATCCAGTCTTTGCTTTGGTAGCCTACGTTAAATATGAGGTCGCAAACGTTCTGCTTGTTGACCGCGAAAAAATCAAGATTTAGTTGACCAAAAACCAACTAAATGTATTTGGTTTTGGGAAACCGCCACCCGCCCCCAAACCAGGCTACTGCTTATGATGATAGCCACCCTCCGAACCAAATCCTATCTAGCTGCAGACTGTTCTTGTTACATCTAGAATCTAGATGTTGCGAGTGCAGGTGATTGTCGTCGATCCAGCTCCCGGGTATGGGGATGTCATCGATGCGGTCTGGGCCCTGAACCAAGCCTGGGAGAAAAATGCTGAAGTGCCTTTGTTCGTCGGCATCAACTTCGACTGGCCCGGCAACGACACCGAAAAGTCCAAGGCTGCAGGAATGATTTCGTATGTCAAAGGCCTTCTGATGAGGACCTGGTGGGAAACCTCTCAGGAGGCAGGGGACGCGGAGCCCAAGCGAACGGAGGCAACGACCGTACACCGGCCAACCTTGCAGGTCCTGACTTGGGACGGCATGAAGGCAATCGTTCCCGACATGGTGCAAGACAGGTTCAGAGACGCGGAGGAGGAGGTGTGCCGCCACTGGACGGTCTTGTGCAAGACAGTTCAGGACAGCACTACATCTAAGACTAAGGTTTGCAATCATACAGCCCCTGCAGCTTATTGTGCTAACTTAGTGTGGGATACAAGTTGGGGTGCAGGTCGGGCTTAGGGTTATCCAAACCAAGCGTTGCGACTGTAGGCCCCAAACATAGACCCCTTCAAAGTTCTTGAAACCCTAGACGAGAAGTCTAGCCTAGCTTAGACCGAGCCCAGCCGTGAAAGCAAATCGTCGGCCAAGCCACACGATTCCGAGTTACCAGGCATCATCCATGCCAGGCGGAGCCTGCGTTTGGTTCTTCGGTTAGGTTCTTTGCGGTCGCAAGACCACGTGACACTGCCCCGAATAGACAATGAAAGTTGAACGACGACCCACGATCTGAAACCTTTAACATTAGCAATCCAAGCCAACCCTCAAACAAACTAAACCCGCCTTTACTCTAGAAATGCTTTGCATTTGGCCCGGGCCTCTGTAGTTCTAGCGAAATGATAATTGCGAGAATGTTCCCTGATGTGCCTGCTTCGCGAAAGATGCAGGCCCCCTATCCAAGTATGTAGGATGTCTTCTATCGGTGACCGATATCCCCGAAAGCTCAAACCACCGCAGCAGGATAGCCTCAACGAGCTGGTCTCGCTGACATCCGTCGCAGCCGCATCCTCTCAGAACGGGCGCGTTGGGGTGAAGTTCACAGGGCCGGAAGCCCATCCATCGGAAGGGCACGATGGGATCGATTTGAGAAGGGATTTAAATGACATCTTGGAGGAGTTCGACCGTTCAGACGTGGACATGTCGAAAGTGCTTCTTGTCTCCAGGGCTAGGTGTCCTAAACCCTGCAAACCCTAAACCCTAGACCCTGAGCCCTTTAAACCTTGAACTTTCGGTTACAGGACATTTGTAGGATCTGTGAGTGTCAGTTCGTCTGAGGCTGTACACGGTGAAGCCGACAAAAACCGTGCCTGGGATTATGCTCTTAAAGGACATGCGCATCCTGTTGCATTCGGAGGAAGCCATGCACGGGCCGAGCTGGAAGTGCCCAGCTTGCGAATTGTTTGGCTTTGGAACTGGAGCACTCACACTCGACGACACCGACCTTTTCAAAGGCCGGACGATTCATCCCACTGAATCTATATAAACACACCTTAAACCTAGAGTTTACGTGACATTCTAGTGTAGCGGCAGGAACCCAGCGCGTTGGAGCGACCCTCTTCCAAATCGAGAATGACTACGACTTCGTCGTTGCAGTGGAGGATGGCAAAAAGCAGATTCAACGAGTCTGTGATCTTGTCTATGAGGCCCCGTACTTGACGTGGAGTTCACTCTGAAAGCCTTAATTTAAGGGTCCCGGGTCTGAATATGGACTACATCTGCAACCCATCATAGCTATTTCTATTTAATTTAGTCTGCCAGGCTATGCAGGCCGGAGTCACCGATTTGACTGTGGAGCACCACAAGTGCTCCCCGATGAAGGTCACCAAGCAGGCGGGCGGTCAATGTTCTTGGGTATACAAGCTCTATGTTCAAGTTGGATGTGGATGGTTCGTGTGAACCTTAGGATTGATGAAAGTCAGTGCACGCTCATAATTACGACAGGCTGCAATGTTACACACTAGTCATTGCAATGTGTTGTCGCTACGTGTCTAGTCTAGTCTATCTGGTACTCTTACATGATACTCAGAGTGACAACATTCTCAAATCTTCAAGCATAACACAAACCTCGGCGAGGCTTGAATTTTACTCTAGCTAGATTATGTTGAATTTGACACCGTTGAATTCAACAGCACCCCGCAATCGTAATTGGATACCTTGATGCCATTTTTATCACGATCCAGTCCTGACCTTATCTCGACTTACAGTAAGCTAGGCTAACCTCCAACGGATTGAACCGTAAACCCCTTGCTATTCTACAATTAACCCCTTCAATCAACCCTCGACCCCTTCAACCTTAAAACCCAAATTACTGCACCTCTACAGCCAAAGCCTTCCATCAATTGAAATGAAGTCATAATTTCATGAAGTCTACATTATTGAAAGTGTTAGGGCCTTGCGAACCCCCCAATCCTGGTTAGTTTAGGCATTGTTGTCGCCCGGTTGGATCTACCTGCAGAAACCCTCAACCCTAAACCCTGAAAACAAGCCTATGTTCCCAAATTAAGAGCTATAGACAGAAATCGTCGCAAGCGACCCTAGGCCGGCTTTTGGGCTACGGGTATTTACATATTGCATGGCCCTGAACCCTAAACCCAAAACCCTAAACAAACCCTAAACCAAAAAACCCTAAACCCCAAACCCTAAGCCCTAAACCCCAGGCCCTAAACCCCAAACCCCAAGCCCTAAACCCAAACCCTAAACCCCAAACCCTGAGCCCTAAACTCCAGGCCCTAAACCCCAAACCCCAAGCCCTAAACCCCAGGCCCTAAACCCCAAACCCCTAACCAGAAGGCCCCCTAAACCGAATCGAAGCCTACCGACATCCTTCTGGGATGCGTGCCTACCAGGGCCGGGAGGTCGAGCTCCACTGCCGCCTGACACTTGAGCTCAAGAAGCAGGCAGTTGCATTCATTGGAGATCGGCTCGACGACAG